AAATGGATTGTGCATCAGTTCAGTTCTGTTCGAACACCTCAAGAAAACGGGGTTGCTGAACGATGCTATGTGATTCCAAGCTTCCTGTATTATTTTGGGCAGAGGCGATCAATACCGCGTGTTATGTTTAGAATCGTGTGCTGATCAACAAAGCCAGAATGAAGATACCGTATGAGATTTTATTTGGGCACAAGCCATCTGTCAGTCATTTCTGAAGATTCCTAGTGATGACGAAGAAGACGAAGTTGTCTATCGACCACCATTGATTTCTTCTGATCCTCCATTGGTACCCACTGCTCACTTTGAATCTTTTGAGTCTCCTGATGCTACTGTTACTCCTATAACTCCAATGCAAAAAGAGTTCATGAACCATGAGACTTCCGCTGTAACATCAAATCTGATGGAACTTCTCTTTCCGGAAAGTATTGCAGAAGAGTTTGTAGCAGACTCTTCAAACGAACCTGGTTCATCTTCTACCGATCATATAACAAATGATGGAGCCGTCAATACTCATAATCTTCCTATTTCTGTCAATGATATTAGTTATCAGATCCCTACACGTGTTTAGCGAGATCATCCGATAGAGAACGTCATTGGACAGCTGGGAGACGGTGTTCAAACAAGAAGCAAAAGTGGGAATGTAAATACATGTCTCTACTCTTGTTTCATCTCTCAAATTGATCCTAAATCTGTCGATATGGCTCTAAATGAGCCCAGTTGGGTTGAAGCCATGCATGATGAATTAAATCAATTTGAGAAACCCGGAGTCTGGAAATTGGTGGAGCTACCGAAAGGAAAGAAATCTCTTGACACTCGTTGGGTATTTCGAAATAAACAAGACGATTCAGGTGTCATTGTGCGCAACAAGGGAAGATTGGTGGTTCGAGGGTTTTGGCAAATTAAGGGTCTTGATTATACAGAAGTTTAGGCTCCAGTTGCTCGTTTGGAAGCCATTCTTATCTTTCTTGCTTATGCTTCTTACATGAACTTTACTGTATACCAAATGGACGTTAAGACGGCTTTCTTGTATGGCAAAGTCAAGGAGGAGATTTATGTTGATCAACCACCTGGTTTTATTAACTCATCTCTTCCAAACCATGTTTACAAGTTAGACAAAGCTTTGTATGGCTTACATCAAGCTCCTTGAGCTTGGTATGCTACTCTTACTCAGCATTTGCTCAATCACGACTATTCCCGAGGCACCATTGATCAAACCTTATTTCTCAAGCATGTCGGTCCAGATCAAATTCTTGTTCAAATTTATGTGGATGACATCATTTTCGGGTCGACCAGCCAACAACTTTCCAAGGAATTTGAAGCGGTGATGAAGAAGCATTTTGAGATGAGTTCACTTGGGGAATTGACCACGTTTTTGGGGCTTCAGGTCAAACAATCTTCAACCGGAATCCTTATTCATCAATCAAAATATGTGGAAGATGTACTGGAGAAGTTCGGGTTTCAGGATGCAAAAGTTGCTCTTACACCCATGGCGGAACAACCTCTTCTGACTCCCGATCTTGAGGGTGAATCCGTAGATCAAACTCATTATCGATCAATGATCGGATCACTCATGTATCTTAATGCTAGTCGACCGGACGTCATGTTCGCGGTATGTCAATGTGCTCGCTACCAGGCTAATCCTAAACTCTCTCATTTAATTGCTGTTAAAAGGAGTTTTTGGTATCTCAAAGGGTGCCCAAAACTGGGTCTTTGGTATCCGAAAAATCCTGAATTTGATTTTTATGCTTTTGCAGATAACAATTATGGTGGGTGTGAGCTTGATAGAAAATCGACTTCAGGAGGATGCCAATTTCTGGGAGATAGATTGGTGTCATGGCAGTGCAAGAAGTAGCACACATTCTCAACCTCAACAGCAGAAGTGGAATATGTTGCTGCATCTGCTTGTTGTTCTCAAGTCATCTGGATCCAACATCAATTGTTGGACTACGATTTGAATTTTCAAGAAACCCCTATTTTTTGTGACAATGAGGCTGCGATTCAAATTACCAAAAACCCGGTCCAGCACTCAAAAACCAAGCACATCGACATTAAAATTCATTTTATTCGAGAATGTTATGAACGTTCACTCATTCGGCTAGAACAGGTCCGCTCTGATAATAATGTAGCAGATCTGTTCACCAAGCCTTTTAACGAAGCTCGATTCGATGTGCTGGTTAATTTTCTAAAAATGATTCATTTTGAGGATTAACTTTTTTTTTAATTTTTTAATAAATTTGCGCATTTACTTTCATTTCTCTCCTATGCACAAATTTAGGGGGAGAAAATCCGAAAACATTAAAAAAATAGAAAATCCAAAAACATTAAAAAATAGAAAATCCAAAAACATTAAAAAAAAATAGAAAATCCAAAAACATTAAAAATAGAAAATCCAAAAACATTAAAAATTAGAAAATATGTTTGAGGGAGATGTTTTGGGAAGTGATATGATCATGTGATAATAGGCAACCTGAGTCTGTGTAACGTACCCAAAGTTGAAGGGTCTATGCTCTGGATCAATGTGTCGGTAGGCACAAAAGATTCTAAATGGACATGACTAGGCAGAATTGAACTTAGGAAATCAAATGACTTGACAAATCTTGACCTAGATAGTTCCGTTTAGCCTGACCATACGACGCTCGGATAGGTTGAGCATGGAGATATATATGAGAATCTACTCGTCACATTAAATGAACCCGTATCTGGAACCATGGTTTAACTTTTCCTCCATGTGCGGATTTTGTCCTTAATTCTGGTATTGATGGGGCGACTAGTAAATTCTGATGAATTAGGTCTGTAGAAAATCATTTTCTTTCTTTCTGTCTATTAGTCATATGTCGCCTCCTCTGCGTGATTGGAAGAGATCCGACCTGGACTGTAACATATGCAACTCTATTTCTTAGCATATTATACATATATATACATATGAAATCCTCTTATCTGTTAGCCATATGTTGTCTCCTTTGCGTGACTAACAATCTGACCTGGTACACAGCATATGCACTATAAGTGATAATACTCTGAATCTATCTTCTCCCCTAATGATGGTCTGCTCATCCGATGTAAGGAGTACTCTGGAAGTCTTTGATTACTGGGGCATATCTGGAAGCGGGAAACATGTTCCATTAAATTTAAAATTGAATACTCAAAGATTGTCTATAGATCTCGCTGCTCAATTTAAGTGGACAACAATATCCCTGGTCATCGTCAGCTAATGGTCCTTATGATATAGTAAGATATAGTATCTAGAAACTTAGGATCAGATATAATATCTAGGAACTTAGGATCACATTGTCTTGTCACGTATAGTATATCCTATTTTTGGCACAATTTTCGTGTTTAAGTGGACAACAATACCGACAATCGACCAGACAAAGATGTGAATATGAAAGGTACCGACAAGCGGATAATGGTTGTCTAAAAACTTTGATCCCTAATCCTCAACAGATTAAAGCAATTTATATAGGTTTAAATTGATTCTTGTCGTTAAATAGATTTTTAAATATCATTTTATTTTATTTTATTTTATTTTATTTTTATTTTTATTTTTATTTATTTTATTTATTTTTTATTTTATTTTATTTTATTTTATCTTAAAATTTTTTCATTAAATCTTTGAAATTAAAATTTTGTTAATCCTCAAAATAATTTGGTTTTTTGAAAATTACGAAGTGAAAGGGTTCTTGGATAAATAATTAAAGGATCAGGGGGAAAAGCGAAACATTCTCACATATAAAAGGAATGCGTGTGCGGTATCTTTCTCACATTCTCTATTCACGTTTCAACCGCACACTCATAAAACTCTCTCAAAATCGTTTGAATTTCCATTAAAATTATTGTGAAATCAAGTTGTTCACGTGGTAATTTTCATGAACGCGGTTAAAATTTTAAATTATTTTCTCAAAATTTTCATGGTTTGCTGTTAAATCTTCTTAAAAAATTGTTTCTTTTATGTGTAACCGCACACGGTGTGTGCGGCTGCACACGTCCGTGTGCGGCTGATTGTGTTCGGCTACACTCATTCATGTTGAGAACGTGTGCGGCTGACTGTTTGCTGCCACAACGAGTGTGTATGGCTGACCTTGTACAGCTGTACACACGCGTGTGCGGCTGAGTGTATCTGCATGTGCGGCTGAAATTTCTTTTGTTGCCCTAATTTTTCATGTGTTAACTTTCAAATTAAAATGGGAGACCTGGAGTTTGCTAAAGCTCATAATTCTGCAATTTTTCTTGAAGATCCTTCTGCAGCCCACAGTGACTTGAAATTCATTGTGGATGGTTTGAAGAAGTCATGCTTGGTTCACTGCTTATCTACAAACCCTGCCATCTACCAAAGCTTAATTAAGGATTTCTGGAGAAATGCTGAAGTGAAGAAAAATGATCGAGGCGAAAATTTTCTAGAAACAACAATTGAAGACAAGAAAGTTCTAGTCACAGAAAGCATCATCAGAGAATCTCTTCAAATTGAGGACAAACATCTTCAAATTGAGGACAAACCTGAGTACCTCATGGAAATTGAAGTCCATCAAATTGAGAAAATTTTGGAACATATGGGATACGAAGGAACTTTTCCTCCTACAATCAAAAAGCTACCTCCGCCATGCTGGAAACTGTTAGCTCATGTGTTCGTAAGTTGCGTTTCTGGTCGGAGATCAGGAACTAATGAGATTTCTCTAGCGAATACTGGTGCTATTGCTGCATTGGCAGCAGGTTTTGAGTTTAATTTCTCAAAATTTATTTTGAATGAAATGATACTGAATATTGAAGGAAGCAAAAGAGACAAATTTTGCATGTATCCAAGATTCCTTCAAATCATCCTTAACGTAACTCACCTTGAGTTGCAGAGAGGAAATGATACTCTGGATTTCAAATCCATTGGTCCAAGTGCCCTTGGATTAATGAAGCAAAAGAGAGGAGGAAAATTTATATTTGAAGGAAAATTTCCTTTAATAAAATTTGGAATTTTTAAAGAGGATGACAGAGAAGAAGCAGCAGATAAATCCATGCTGACAGAAGAAGAATACACTCATAATTATCCCTCTGAGCCTCTAGTGGAGGAGATTCATCAATCTCCCACAGCTTGTGTTGCTGATGAGCATGATCATCAGAAAGCAAATGATTCAATATCTTCTCGAGGGGATGACGACGATGATCTTTATGAAGATGTAGAGTTTTTGAATGAAATCGAATTTACAGGAATCAATGATGATATTCCAACAAACATCGAGTTTGATTTTGGTGATGAAAATTTTGATCCCTTTCTGGATACTCCCAGCAGCCATGCAAATAAAGTCAATGAAGTTGCTTCTCTGGCAACCAAGACTAGAAGTGAAGGAAACTCTCTCAAAATTCTGTTCAACTCCTCCAAGCCCTCGGAAATCACTACAGGTCAAGGAGATGTGACATCAAAGATTCCTCCCTCTGTGTCACCTATCTCAACATCAACTCCAGTCATTTCTATGATATCTGAACCTCAGACTTCCCAGACCTCCATTAGAACAAGCCAATCTCTTGAGAGTCTGGAGGTACCCTCTGTGAAAAGTGCTCCTCAAATTATCTCAACAATCACTACAACCACTGCTCACTCTCCATCAAAACAGACTGATGAAGGTCCAAGCACCATGTTCGAGACTAGTGGATCTTCTTCTATTCCAGAATATTCCCCAACACGACCTTCTCTTGATGAAGCATATATTAGATTAGTAAAACATTTAGCTCAATCTAGTCCAACCTCGTCACGCGGAAAAGGAATATCATTTAATGAGGGACGGACAGATGATGACAGATCCTCTTCATCTCATGTACGAGAAGAAGTTGGAATCCTCTATCAACAACTCATTGAAAAATCTATTCAGATGGATTGGCTTTCTGCACATATTTTTGAGCTCAGGGAAAAAGATGAAGAAAAGACCAAACAAATCAAGGATCTACAAACGAGTCTCGATTCTGTTCTAGCAAACTATTTCAATCTCAAAAACGTATTGTACGATGCCTTTGGTGAGAAAGTCAAAGCCCTTTTCCAACAACCTCATGGAGTAGTTGATCCTCCTTTTGTTCAATCACCTCTTGCAACTGATGATCTACCTGTTGACCCACCTGTTCCAAGAACAACTACCATTGTAGACAGATTTGAAAAGGAACCTGAAGGCAGCAGAGCGACAATTACAATCAAGCAGGGCAAAAGAATCACAAAACATAGCGAAGGCCTTCTATTCATGAAAAACTCTAATGAAAATCGCAAAACGAAAGACCCTGTCTTGAGAGTAACAGATTTGAAGAAAAGGAAGTTTGGTGATGAATACGGTGACAGAACAGGCATCCAAATGTGGGCCTTTGATCCAGTGACGAATTTGTGGGTGGTAAAGCGGAAATCAGGAGCTTCTGAATGTTACAAAAGCACCCATGATTTCAACTCCTGGACCAAAACTGATCTTGCTGAATTATCCAGGGCCCCATTCCATAACCCCTATGAAGATGAAAATGCATCAAATTTCAAAAGATTCTTTGACAGACAGGTCAAAGAGAACTTTCCTTCAATGAAAACTGCCAAAGCTCTATACAAAAAGGATAAAGCTGTTCTTGATCCAGAAATAGGCGAACCCATGAAGATTATACTTTGGCCTGCAACTAAGAAACAGAAGGAAATTCCTATTCCTCAACACTTTCATGAGGGATATCTAGATGACATGGAATTTTGGGCATATGATGACGAAACAGCCACTGCAGCCATCAAATTCATGAATCGAGAACATATTCTGAGATTGATTAGTGCTAAAGATCTTCTACGCTTCAGAGAAAAAGATATACAAACTTTGGCCTGTCATCAAATCATTTGCAGAAAGGATGTCATGGAGGCTGCTGCTAAAGAATTCACTGCAATGGTAGCTACAATTATAAATGGAAGATTGTGGATGGGTTCAATGGGGAGATCATATCTGAGGTTGTTTGAGAAGCCCGCTGAGGAGCCAAAGGAGTAAAAAACAAGACCATGCTAGTCTCAAACCAAGGGGGAGACTGAAAGAACATATTTTTATGGTTTGAGCTACGCATCATTATGTATAGATGATAGTGTTTTTATTTATGTGTCTGTGAGTTGTAGTGTGATGTGTGTTGCCGCATATGTGTGTGGTAGCATACATCTATTTGGCAGCATTCAAATAGTCTTGGTGTAAGGGGTACTATATATAGCTTCTGAGATGTGTCAGATAGTACGATTTTTGCTGGTGTAAGAACTTGGTCGCAGCTGTATTTCCCTCAAGATGTACCTGACAGTTATTAAATATAAATGTGTGCATGCTTATTTTTAATTCTTCTTCTTCTACATCTCCTTTATTAAAATTAACTTCATTGATTACTAGATTGGATCATTAGATTTGGGACTTACACTTCCGTATAATCAAGACCCTCAACTTGCCGAAACCCTCGAACCACCAATCATGCCTTGTTGCGCACAATGACACCTGAATCGTCTTGTTTATTTCAAAATACCCAACGTGTATCAAGAGATTTCTTTCCTTTTGGTAGCTCCACCAATTTCCAAACTCCAAGTTTCTCAAATTGATTTAATTCATCATGCATGGCTTCAACCCAGTTGGGCTCATTCAGAGCCATTTCGACAGATTTGGGCTCTATTTGAGATATGAAGCAAGTGTAGAGACATGTGTTAATATCCCCACTTTTACTTCTCGTTTGAACACCGTTGCCCAGTCGGCCAACGACGTTCTCTATCGGATGATCGCGCTGAATATGTGTAGGGATCTGGTAGCTAATATCATTGACAGAAATAGGAAGATTATGAATATTAACCGCTCCATCATTTGTTGTATGATCTGTAGAGGATGAACAAGGTTTGTTTGAAGAATTTGCTACAAACTCTTCAGCAATGTTTTCTGGAAAGAGAAGTTCCATCAAATTTGAAGTTACAGCGGAAGTCTCGTGGTTCATGAAGTCTCTTTCCATTGGAGTTAAAGGAGTAGCAATAGCATCAGGAGAAGGTTGTTGAGGAGACTCAGAAGATTCAAAATGAGCGGAGGGTACCAATGGAGGATCAGAGGAAATTAGTGGTGGTCGGTAGACAACTTCATCTTCTTCGTCTTCACTAGGAATCTTCGAATTAGATGTAGATCCTTCTTGATTATCTGAAGACACATTGAATGATTTGAAAAGAGATGTGTAGTTAAATAACCAATCGGGACCCACTCTTGCATCTGTCTCATTTTCCTCGAGCCAACGAACATCAAAGGATTCTACAATATGTTTAGTCTTTTTATTGTAAACCCTGTACGCAGTTCGAGCAGCATATCCAACAAAGTAACAGTAATCGGCTTTGGCATTGAATTTGGGGTTGGATTCCAAGTGGAAAAGGGTGCAAGGGCAGCCAAATACTCGGAAATGACTGACATATGGCTTGTATCCAAATAGAATTTCATACGGTGTCTTCATTCTGGCTTTGTTGATCAGCACACGATTCTGAACATAACACGCGGTATTGATCGCCTCTGCCCAAAAGAATACAGGAAGCTTGGAATCACATAGCATCGTCCTTGCGACATCTTTTAGAGTTCGATTCCGATGTTCGGCAACCCCGTTTTCTTAAGGTGTTCGAGCAGAACTGAACTGATGCACAATCCCTTTTTCAGTGCAAAAATGATCAAGAACAGCGTTCTTGAACTCTGTTCCATTATCGGTTCGCAGCACTTTCACTCGATTGTTAGTCTGATTTTTGATCATCATAATGAATCTTTTGATGAGGTCAGCAATTCCAGCTTTGTTAGACAGAAAGAAAACCCAAGTGAAACGAGAGTAGTCATCTATCACAACAAGGCCGTATGAGTTGCGATTGATGCTTAGAACATTAACCGGACCAAATAAATCCATATGCAATAACTCGAGCACTTGACTTATGGAGTTTATCTACTTTGGAAGGTGTGGTTTCCGATGATGTTTTCCCTGAGCGCACGAAACACATTTTTCAAAGGAAATGAAATCTTTGATGGGAAGCCCACGGACCAATTCGTTTTTCGCAAGCCGATTCAAGTTCTTTGCATTTGCGTGACCGAGACGACGATGCCACAACATTGCATTTTGTTCAGAAGCTTTGGATAAGAGATAAGTGACCTTGTCAGGAATATTGTTGTTCATGTCTATAATGTAGGCATTTCCATCCCGCTTAGATCTTACGAGAATCTAGCCTTCAGGGATGACAACACCAGGCTTTAAGATCAGACACTTCTTATCTGTGAAATGAGTAGAGTAACCCTTATCGCAAATCTGGGATACACTCAGCAAGCTATGCTTTAGTTCTGGAGCGAAGTTAACATTTTTAAAATTCAGCACCCCATTTGTGACAGTTCCTTTTTGAGTAATTTTTCCACCCTCTCCGCCCGCAAAAGAAACATATCCCCCATTAAAAGTTTGAATGTCATGCAATTGGGATATGTCTCCAGTCATGTGCCGGGAGTAGCCGCTGTCGACATACCAAGGTTTGGCGACATTCCTCCGCAACTGTCCCTGCACGATGAGTGGAATCATTTAGTTTTGGGAACCCAGGTCATCACAATCCTGGGTTGAATCTTTCTTTTTACTAATTTTTCATTTGATTCTTTCTTTGCTTTTGAATTAGAAGGTAATGGATATGGATCTGAAAAAGATTTTTGAATCCACTGACAGTTAGGTTTTGAAAATTTGTTTGTTTGCTTCGAACTGGTGGATTTTCTACATGAAGAGTTAGAGAATCATGTCCTGTTCTTTGACAAATTCGACTTAGGCTTAGCCTGAGTTGATTTTGGCAAACATTTGTTGTTTTTATGAAAAACTTGTTTATTCTGTTGAATTTTTTTGTTTAAAATTGTATTCAAGTCTCCATTTCTAGAATGAGTTCTGGGAATTTTTTAATTAAAGATCATCCCCGACATTCGTTCTGCCCTCTTTTTGTTGTATGAGATACAAACATTCTGTTTGTACAATTTCTTGCAATGTGTCCAGCAGTGCCACAGTTAAAACAAATTTGTTTGTTGTTAATAGCTTTGGCACTTCTGTTGTCAACTGTATTCTTTCCACTTTTAACACATTTACACTAGAAAGATCCATCACATGATTTAGTAACAGGTGTGTTGGATGCAGAGACATGCAAAACAGGTTTAGCAGTTTGATCAGAAACAACACTATCAGAAACAACATTATCAGACTGAAATAAAATACCACCCGACACAAAAACATTTGTGCTTGATTTTGACACAGATTCATTGCTGAAATTAACATCAGACTCAATCACAACATTATTTGACTCAAAAGATTCAGCTGCATGCTCCCCCTGAACTATGGATATCTCTGCACTTGAGGTAGAAATGTTAGTATGCAAATTCTCATAATTTGATTGTATTTCCTGCTCAAAAGTTGACTTTCCATACACCATGCAAGGTTCTCTATCATTTTCTTCTTGAGACAGGGGAATAGCAGTGTAATTGAGATTGAAAGGAGGAGGGACACTCTCAAAACCTAATCCAACTTTTATTTGATTACCATGAGTGATATCTCTCCAGTGTGATTGACCTTCGATTAATTTTGCAATTTTTTCACTTGACACATCAAATTTTTGAAATTAAATTCAGCCTTTTCAAAACAATTTTTCAATGTGTCAAGTTCCATGGTTACAGCAGCAAGTTTTCTTTTCAGATGATCATAGTTCTCACATTTGTTGCTGTAATCCTCTTGCAATTTTTTTAAAGTCTTTTGTTTTATTTTCTAATTGAGTTTTTAAGGGCTTTAGATTTTTTCTAAGAGTATATCCCTCATATTTCAAGTCCTCGTTCTCTCTTTTGATTATTTCAATTTGATCTCTCAAAAATTTAACAGTTTTAATACAAGATTGAGAACATCCGAAATCACTAACCTCAGATTTGACTGGTTCAGGAGTGGTCTGTACCATGAATGCAAATTGCAAATTCATCATCTCCTCCTCTGGATCTGCTTCCATTTCTTCACTAGCATCCTTGACTTGAGCAAGATTTGCCTTTTCAGGTCCCGAAATGTTTAGGGCCTGAACTTGATCTTCCCAGTTGAACGATTGAGCTACCATTGCCATGTTTGCAAATTGATTGTTTGAAGGTGATACTCTGTTGTTGTTGTGAACATAAGTTACTGGCACCATGGTTCTTTCAGAGTTTGCTCGCTAATCAGGTTTTGGACATTCCCTTGCAAAGTCTCCTAGTTCGTGACAATTATAACAGCGTAACTTTCCTTTGCTAAAACCCATCTTCTTATCTGAATTTACACCCCAGTTGTTCTTTCCAGTCCTTTTTGAGAATTGTTTAGCCCTAAATAATTCCATTGCCATTTGCCAAGTAATATCCATCTCTTCCACATCTTCAGGATGGATTTGATCAAGATCAGTGAATGACAGTTGTGGAGAGAGCTCCCCAGCAACAAAGGCATTGTAGCAGTTAACCAACCCAGTAGATAGAGCCATATTTTCCTCCTTTTCCTTTTTAAATGAACTTTGGGAACCAATTCCATGAGATTGAATTGAAACAACTATGGAATAACTAACACTAGAACCGACTTGAGATATGTTTTGAGGGATTTGAGTTTGTTGCATTTTAGGTATGTTTTATGCTATGTTTTGATGGGCTGTATAAGGTTGAGCTTGGGGAACCTGCACTTGAGTAATTTGATGGGTGGTGAAGCTTGAGAAAGCGTGTTGTTGTTTTGAATTCCAAGATTAGTTGTAGAGTACGAATTGACATGATTGATTTCTCTTTGTTTATCATCAAGGTCTCAAGCTTTGATGATAGCCATTGTTTCAGACAAGCTTAAACGGTTCAAGTCTTTTGTCTTTTTGATCACCGAGACATTCATGTCCCATGATTTTGGAAGAGAATTTAGTAGCTTCTTGTTGATTTCAGACCTAGTAACCATCACACATGCGGAGCTCATTTCAGTGGTTAGTGTGATAAATCTTTGCATTTGATTTTCCAAT